CTTCATTGGTTTAAAGTTGAAAGGTTTAATTTAAAATTACCTCAGTATCAATTTAAGCAGAAGTTAAAAATTGAAATATTTTGTGAATCAAACAAAGATTATGATTTGTAATATAATATTATTAGCGCCTATTGAACTTTCTGATGACGCTTTTTATATCTTCTATGTTCATCAAAAACGAGAATTGGAAAATGTAGTACCGATATATATCGTTCCATCCATTCCAAATATTATATGATATAATTATAATAATTATATGATATATATATATATTCTTTATTATTGTTGCTAGCAAATTTTTATACCTAGAAATAATCGTAGATTAAGAAATCAACAAAGTTTAGCTAGATGTTGATAAACTGTTTGACATTTGTCGGAGCGTGGTGAATTTAAATATGTACCGACAGATGTTTGGGACGGGTACTAAAACATTTAATTGTCCAAGTCAAGATCGGTAAGAGTAAGAAATGACACCAGTGAGGAGTTCGGGATTTTTGGTTCATCGCGTCGGTAAAGCCCATGTCTAATATGAAACACACAGGTAAATAAAATAACAACCACCTGACTCACTAATATTAATTTGGTGTGCTCAGGAGAGTGCCCATGTATTATTGATATAATTACATCAATTAACATGTGCTTTTGCAAGAAATGTTATTCAGCAATATTCAAAATAATAAAAACAGCTATCAATACAAAATCTAAGTGCACAAAGGCTTACCGACCATATTTTGTTTTGTGAAACACGTATCTATTTCTTCGTAAATGTTTTCCTTCGACTGTTCCACATAGTTACTAATCTTTTTGTTGTTAATTGAGTTGCCACTGTAAACCTGGTCGTAGTTTAAAACATTGTTGCAGTTTTTATTTTTTTTGTTGCCGATTTCGTTGCTTAGATAAGCAATTTGATCGTTTGCATGATTATGTTGACCGAATTCGTTGTCTTGCATCACCTTATCTGGAAAACTGTTTGTTTGAAGCGAATTATTTTTGAACAAAGCGTTACTTTTAGCATGAATAACTGGAGATATTTTGGTGTTTCTGTTCTTCATTTTGTTGTTTATGTCGTTGGTTTGATTGTAAATGCTTCTTTCACTGGAGTTGCTACAACAGACTCCATTTTTGCTATAGAAATTGTTCTTGGTTAAATTATGGCTGTTTATCTGGAATGGCTCAACACCAAATGTTCTTTTGTTGTCGATGGCGTTTACAACGGAGTTGAACGTTACAACTTCTTCATTGATCTTGTTGTCATCGCTGTAAGTATTGTTGCCAACATTATAACTGCGAGCTAGTCTCATAAGGCTCTGCTGGCCAATGGGAGAATTTGCACTTTTAGCACGCATACGACGTGGTTCTTGAATGTTTTGCTTTTGTAGTGGCGGTTCCTCTTCTTTATCACGCGTCTGTATGGTTTGTTGGCGACGCTTCGAGTCTTCTTCTTGTGGAAAAAAAAGTAATGATGAATGTAGCTGTTGTTGGGATGGATGTGATGGTTGTTGTTGAGATGGGTATGATAATTGTTTATTTTTATTCTGCACAATGGAATTTCGTGCTGAAAGATTTAAATGATGATGCAAGTGTTGCATTTGTTGATGAGGTGATGGTTGTCTTTGTTTAATTTTAGAAGAACTTTCATAATGTGGCTTATTATTTTGGTTTGGTTTTGCGGGTGAAAAATATTGCCAGTTTACTTGATCTCCATTATTTTGTAATTCTCTTTGCTGAATCTGATGCGATTGTTGTTGAGAAGATTGTTGTCCTACTATTTGTTGTTCGGTTTTATTATTTGGTAGTGATAATCTTCTATGAATGTTTTTAAATAAAAGTTTAGATTTTGATAATTTATTTTGCTTAGCAACAGTTGCTGATGTTTGTTTCTCGTTGATTGATGAGTCACTACTTCTTTCGACAGCATCACGAATCATGAGAGAGTTGTGCTGAGGCATGATGGTTGAAAATACACCGAGTAAGCAATCACTCGTATTTGTGTTATTAATATTATTATCACTACCGTTGTTATTGCTGTTGTCATTGTTGATAATGTTTTGGTTTAAGGCTGGTAGACTGTTACTAGAACATGTTTTGGCAATTGTGACAGTTTTTTTGACTGTTGGAGAAGCATTGTTTGGCAGTTTGTTTCTTGGATGGTCGTCGTCGTTCTGATTAAAGTCATGCTTGTTTTCATTAGTTGCGTTTTTGCTTTTATTTTGATATTTGTTATTGAAAACAGCAAATGCATGAAAAAGAAAATTATTTGTTTTTTTCTTTTTTAAACTTGCATATGATGGAATCATTGGCGGGAGGGATGAGTTGGTGTCGGTGTCAACAACATACAGTGTGTTCGCGCTTGTCTTGTGGTAAGTGTTTCCATCGGATGTACCGCTAAAATTTGAAGCTTCAGTTTGAATGGTGTCATCAATTCTATTAACGTTTTCCGCAGTGCTCACATTAGAAATTTTATTCTTATTTGCATTAACGTTGCTTGTTTTTGTTGTTGGAAATTTTAAAAAATTGTTTGGAGAGTACGACTTACATTTGTAGTTGATGTGACTGTGTTGGTTATTATGATCGTTCACCTGAATGCCATTGGATTTAAAATTTTTGTTTTCAACATCTTTTTTTAATTTTCCAGCGCTACTTTCATAACTTGCAGTCATTTGTGAATTTTTTAGTTCTTCGGTGTATTTTTTTTCACAAATGCAGTTTTTCATGTTATTGTTCAGTTGTTCAAACGAGGTAGGAAAACATCGGTTGCCTCTGTTGGTAAGGCTAAAAAAATTTTCATTGTCGTCAAAAATGTTGCTGATCTTGTTGTTGTTGTTGTTGACGATGCTGAAGTTGTTGCTGCTGCTATTGTTGACGAGGATGTTGTTGCTGTTGTTTTTGTTGTTATGGCAAACTGTTTTACACAGATAGGATGTTTTGGGAGGTCTGTGCTGAATCGGAGGCTTGGAAATTATTGCAAACATTGCACCGATGAAAAACAAAGTTAAAGAGTTTTCAGAAAATGTGGAATTATTCCAAAGATCAAGGACTCTTTATTTACTTTTTTTTGAGAAATAAATTTTAAAAGAAATTCTTATAGCTAGCAAGAATTCAAATTGTTACCTGCGACGCCAAACTTTAAAACTGAATAGTTATTTATTAAAATATTTATAAGTTACAACCAAACTCAATTTTATATTTAAAATTTTAGATTTAAATATACTGTTTGAATTAATATGAAATTAAAAAATAAAATAAAAATAAAATAAAAATGAAGAAAAAGATGCAAATTAAATATTCTATGAAATCTTCACTTCCCACTGAAAGTATTCAAATGCTCACAAAATTTTCA